CTCCGGGCGATAAAACGTCACGGCCGTGTAACTGTAGCAAGTCAGATTTCTAGGGAGCAAATTAGTGCTCAAACATCTTCTAGTGATGGCAAGAGAGGAATCATACACTACCCCAAAATAAAGCAAGATATGCAGTAAATGTTTCATTTATTGACCTTCTTCTATTACTATTAGGGTTAAAAGGTGTCTTGTCGATAAAATGAGTCTCTTTAGAGAGGACTGATGTCTTTTGGAAGCTGTTCTCGTCACAGATGCCTATAGTGGTCATGATCAGTTTATGGATGTAGGTGTCACAGCCCCTAATGAGTGTATACACTTCCCACTAGTCCTTGGGTCATGGGGTACCGTTGTTCCTATATTACCTGATTGGGCTGTTAGCTGAAGCAAGGTAGTCATCAAGTCAGGTGCTTTGGAGGTTGGTAGAACACAAGCCCATTCCTCTAGGTTTCCAGGGAAGGCAGGGGCCACTTGTACAAGCTGTTTTTCTCCATCCACCATGTAGGTTCTGGAGCCTGAACTCAGGTTGTCAGGCTTGGCTAATCTATTCTTTATCTATCTATCTATCTATCTATCTATCTATCTATCTATCTATCTATCTATCTGTCTGTCTATAGGTCTTATGTATCTCAGACTGATTTCAAACTCACTAGAAGATGACCTTGAATTTTGTTTTGTTTTCTTTTGTTTTTTTGAGACAGGGTTTCTCTGTGTAGCTTTGGAGCCTGTCCTGGGACTCACTTGGTAGTCCAGGATGGCCTTGAACTCACAGAGATTCACCTGCCTCTGCCTCCTGAGTGCTGGGATTAAAGGCGTGCACCACCACATCCTGCTGACCTTGAATTTTTGATCTGTCCCGAGTGTTGGGATTACAGGCATGTGCCACCACTCCTGATTGATGCAGTGCTGGGTGTTGAACCCAGGTCTGCCCGTACGCTAGGCAAGCACTCTACCAACTGAGCTACATCCGAGCCCAGATGTCTGTTCCTGTGTTAGCTAAGGGAGGAGCCTTCTTTTCCTGAACATCCAAATGAATGTTCATCACCCACATGGGACAAAAAGCAAACAAAAAAACCTCTCAGTGGAATCAGGACTTTGGTTTCTGAACACCCTCCCCCCGCCCTTTTATAGCTTCCTTGTATTTCCAAATGCTTTTTTTTTCCTTCCCTCAGTCAGCACACTCCCTGCCAAGGTAAGTCCAACACAGTGGGTGACAGATCACCCACCTTGGAGGCTGGATCTGTAAAGGGAAATCGAACAAGAACAAAAGCACACACATACGTGCACGCACACACATACACATACGTGCACGCACACACATACACATACACAGGCGTACACAACACAGGTCTCATGCATGCATAGGCTGATGCCAAGGGTATTTGAATAGACTTTTGCTTAGTGATTGGAGGAGCTGAGTGTTGTCACCTTTGTGGAGTCCCTGCTTCTAGATGGTGTAAGTCAGCCACCTTTGTATTCCCAGTATCACAAAGCCAGCCTCTTACTCTGGCTTCTCTTTGCTTGGGTGCCAAGAAACTTTTGGTAATGATCGTAGTCTGGGGAAAAAAATTATAGACTCATGGACTCTTTCGAATATAAAAAGCACACCAGAAAATATCCATACTTCATCCCCAAGGTGATGCAGCACAAAGAAGCCACAGGTAACATGACTCATGGTCAATCTATTATTTCAGTTCCTGTATTTCAGTGATCACCCCTTCTGTCTCCCTGGTGCCTAGAGGGGGACTAGTGTAAACAGCAGTCACCTTCTCATAGTCACATTTAGAAATCACACCCTGCTCTCCCAGGCAACCTATTCTTTTAAGATGTATTTATTTATGTAGACATACTTCATATGTAAGGAAGGCTCTTTGTATGTCAACCTAGCTACTCTGTCATTTACTCTGTAGATCAGGCTTCTGCCTCCTGAGGGCTAGGTTTGCAGACTTGAGTCGTGTCTGGTTAGCTTAGTCGCTTAAGTTTTAAGGCAATATATAGATCATCAATATTAACACAAACCCACTTGGAGAGAGCCAATGGAAGGAAGGCTGTTGGCAAGACCAAGAAGCCAGAAATGGAGTAAAGAAGACACGGTGGGTGGGGGGTGGGGGGTTGCAGAACAGCCTGGCACTTGGGGACCTGGGCTGGCCCAGGAAGGGGCTCCAAATGTTGAGAAATGAGACCAGCTTCTTCATCCATTACGCCCATCTCCACATGCAAAGACCAGGATGTCCAAATGCCTTGCAAGGCTCAAGCCAACATTAGAACTAGTCTGGTGTCCCTTTTGTGTTTTTTAGCATCTTGGCCATTTGGTCAGAATTCAGTCATTTAAACCAGGACTCATCAGAGCATAGAGAGAAGGTACCTCAATGCTTGGATATGAGCCAACTGGTGTTTAAAGAGTTCTTGCCAAATCTATAAACTGCAGGTCCACATGGTGGGCCAATCTGCCTTTTCCTTTTTGAATATGTTTCATTTTGCTACCTGTCAGTGGCATTCCTTGCCCTGCCCTCCCCCCCCCGCCCTGCCCTTCTGGGTACCACCACAAGCAACAACAGGGACTAGATGTCAAGGGAGATCTTGCAACTTTCTCTCCCCAAGCCTTTTTATAGCACCAAACAATGAAATTAAATGTGGCACACGACCTGTTATGGAGTAACTTTGAATCATTTAATTAGGTTGGAGATTTAAGGGGAGATTCAAAGGTTCCCTTTGATGGAGAAAAATAAGTCTATGCCAAACTAGATGATGGTATTGGTCACCAAAGAAAGCCCTTAGTGATTACACATGATAAAAATGCAGTATGTTAAAAACAATGACACTTTAACAATTTCAATTCAGTATATTCATAAGCTTTTATTGTACAATCAATCCAGTAAGGAACACAGAAGATCCCATTATTCAACTTGATTCAGATCAGGGTTAGATAAAAATACAAAAAGAACCCAAACCCATCCTACAGGACAAAGACTTGGTCATAAAGCAGACTTACTCTAAAAGTGTTCCCATTTATGTCAACAAGCCCCAAACAGGCTTGGCAGAGTCATGATATGGTATAGAAACCAACTTGGGTACAAGTTGTATACAGGTGGCAATTAATAAGCATGTAAAGCTGCAGCTGTTGGCTAGATGTGGAATCTGAAGGTATCCAGTGGAAAGACCCAGGAAGGGGATCAGTCATCTGTACATGGACTCAAGGCAGGGCTGAATTTCATGCTTAGTGTTTTTGCTTGGTGTCTTGAAATATTCCCCTTTCTGTCTCTATGTTCTCTCTTAGACACTGCACCGTCTTATTTATTTATGAAGTCTGAAGGTTAGTCCTACCTGCTGAGACTAATTAGCCCTCTACTTTGTGTCCCATGCAATCCATCCTATGAAATGTACACATTTGTTTTGTTTTATTCTTTTTTTTTTTTTTCTGGCTCTTTCTCCCTCCACTTCTGATTTTCTGATGAATATGGAAGTTGGGAGCTGGTGGGATAGTGATCTCACTGCCCGCCTCCCCCATCCCATCCTCATTTTGCCCGAATCTCCCGCTTTAGTGTGCTAATGTGCTTGGGATTTTTTTCTTTCCAGTGCAGGGGAATTCGTTGGCCTTGTCAATATCAGTATCGTTATTTTCAGTTGTCTTCTTTCTGAGGCCTGAGCCTGTACAACAGTTTTGTTGAAACCCCAAACTCTCTAAATATTACACAGTAAACTGGTTACTTTTGGAAATCTACAACAGATGAGCTTTTTAAAGGGGAGGGTAGCCTAATGTAATACATTGTGGACCCCAGAATAACATCACACCTAATAGTAAGTGGCCAGTTCCTATTATTTCCTTCCTTCCTTCCTTCCTTTTCTTGTTTCTCTTTTCACGTTGGAATTCCCAGTTCACTTCTCATTGGATACTTGCAAGGAAAAAGACCTGACTCTACCATCCAGGAACACTGCTTTGGGAACCCACCTTTCTTCTTTAACGTAATTTTCTTCCACATTTCATAGCAAATCAGTTTGCCCTCCCTGAACCGAATGACCAACAAATACCTGTCTCAAATCCTGGGCTTCCCACCTCCTCCCCAAGGGCTTCTAGGCCAACTTTGACAGGGCCCTCAACATCCACAGCCTCTGGGCATTTCATCTCAGACCCCCTTGGAGAAAAACTACAACCCCACTCATCCCCGGGGGTTTGGTGAACTTTCACTTTTATTTTCCCTGGCGTTGGTAACGCCCAAACTTTTCACCTCCAAAGTCTGAACGGACTTTGGATCCTACATCACTTCCTACTTCCAATGTCAGTTTAAAAAAAAAAAAAACACAAAAAACCAATAACTTTACATTTCCCTTAAGGATATTTTTAGTACCCCAGACAAACCTAAAGTATTTGTTTTTTGTATAAAACGCCTTCTTGGCATATTTAACCGAGTGGGTCTTTACATTTAATGACATGATTCACTGTCATTAAGGAAAAAAGGGAGGGGAGCCGTTGTGGGTTAGCCTCCTTGACTGTGGATGGCCCGGCCCCTCTGCTTCCCCAGGTTTTCTCAGAGCAGAGAGGTGAGCCTTCTTGGACCAGTTGTGTCTTATCCCGCCCCAGGGTGTCCGACTTCTCTGAGGGATTAACCATTGAGCACCCCGTCCCCACGTCCCACAGTCCTCTCCTACTTGTCCCCATCCTCAAGACTTCTGGCTAACACTTTTTCTGGGCCTCTCCCCATCCCCGCCCCCCAAGTGGGCTTTCCTTCCGCCTTCCCCGGCTCAGATTCCGGACTTGGTTGCCACCCCCCTTCCCCTCCTCTCCCGGTCCGCATTGTCTTTCGGAACCCGCCCCCTCCAGGAGCGAGGCCCGCACCGTCCGGGCGCCCGGCTCGCACTCTGCGCACAGGCCGCACCCCGCGCGCCTCCCGCGGCCCCGGCCCGCCCCGCTCCCTCTCCCGGCGCCCAAAGGATCATTGTTGGCCGCCCCCGCCCCGCCCACCCCGGCTGTTTATTTATGCACACGTCACCGGGCTCGCCCCGCCCCCTGGCATCTCATTAAGGCGAGTGTGTTCCTCTCGCCCTGTCAATAATCTCCGCTCCCAGACTACTCCGTTCCTCCGGATTTCGATCCCCCTTTTTCTATCTGTCAATCAGCGCCGCCTTTGAACTGAAAAGCTCAGTCTAACTTCAACTCACTCAAATCCGAGCGGCACGAGCTCCTTCGGTGTCTTCGGCTTCCCCCCCCTTTGCTCTTATATCTGACTTCTTGTTGTTGTTGTTTTTTTTTACCCCCCTTTTTTATTTATTATTTTTTTGCACATTGATCGGATCCTTGGGAACGAGAGAAAAAAGAAACCCAAACTCACGCGTGCAGAAGATCTCCCCCTTCCCCTCCCCTCCTCCCTCTTTTCCCCTCCCCAGGAGAGAAAGACCCCAAAGCAGGAAAAAAAAAAAGTTAACCTTGGACTCGTCTTTTTCTTGCAATATTTTTTGGGGGGGCTCGCAAAACTTTTTTTTTTTTTTTTTTTTTTGCTTTTCTTCCTCCTTCATTTTTCTTCCAAAATTGCTGCTGGTGGGTGAAAAAAATGCCGCAGCTGAACGGCGGTGGAGGAGATGACCTAGGCGCTAACGACGAACTGATCTCCTTCAAAGACGAGGGCGAGCAGGAGGAGAAGAACTCGGAAAACTCCTCGGCGGAGAGGGATTTAGCCGATGTCAAGTCGTCGCTGGTCAATGAATCAGAGACGAATCAAAACAGCTCCTCCGATTCCGAGGTAGGAAGAGCCCCTCGGGCTGGCGGGGTTGTTCCTGCCGGTTCCCGGGCTCGGAGACTGGGGCTGGAAGGCGAGGCGGGTCGGGGTTGCGGGCGGCGGGCGGCGGGCGGCACAGACGGTTGCCCCGGCTGCTGACTGCAAAAACTTGTAACCGTGTTTCTCTGCACCCCTTTCCCCGCCGACCCTCCCTCCCCTGCACCCCCTCGGCGCGGCGATCGCCCCTCGCCCTCCCCACTTTGCCCCTCCGGGAAGGCGGAAAGACGGCCTCCGCCTCGCTCCGAAAGTTTCCGAGATAAATCCCGGGAAAGTTTGGAAGAAGGTGAGTGCGCCCCGCGCGCCCCCAAGACCGCGCGATCGCGTTCCCCCCTCCCCGGGGTCGGCCTGGCGGGTGCCCTCGCCCCACTCCCTACCCACCCTCCCCGAGTTCCCGCGCCGGCCGGGCCCCGGGGACGCGCGCGGGCCCTCGGGGGACACTTGCTAAAAAGTTTCTCCCGCTCTCTCCCGCGCCGCGCGGCCGCCGCCGTCCCCTCCGCCACCCCGCCATGTTAGCGGCCAAGAGGCAAGATGGAGGGCTCTTTAAGGGGCCACCGTATCCCGGCTACCCCTTCATCATGATCCCCGACCTGACGAGCCCCTACCTCCCCAACGGATCGCTCTCGCCCACCGCCCGAACCGTAAGTGCCACCGCGCTCCCCGCCCTGCCCGCCCGCCCGCCGGCCCCGCATGCCCTGCCCCTCCCCCGCCCCGCCCCTCCCCCCTCCCCTCCCCCCTCGCGGCCCGAACTCTCCAAACTTTTTCTCTGCCTTTTGTGGACTGGGTTTGTTTGCGCTTCGCCATGTTCTGGCTTTCCTTGTGCTTGCCTCGCGATTCGGGGAGCCTTTTCTTTCCCAGGCAGGGCTCTGTTGGGGTGGTGGGATGCCAGTCAGAACTTTTAATTTTTCTTTCTCTCTTTTTTCTTTTTTCTTAATTTTCTTTTTCTTTATTTTCTCTCCTTTTTTTTTTTTTTTTTTTTTGAGCTCTGATTTCCCCCCTCCCCCCTTGCTAGTGGTGTTTGTTTCTTGTCCCTGGGAAGAGGACTGTGTAGCTCTTTCTTCTCCCTCTCTTCCTTCCCTCTTCTGTGCGTCTTGGGCTTTCCCCAGTTTAACCCCTTGGCTGCTGGCTGGGAGGCCGGGCGGCCCGGGCCGCGCGGGTTCCCGGTGCCTCTGGCTCCAGGCGCTGCGGTGTAGAGCGCGCAGCCTCGGCCCTGCGGAAGCGCCCGGCGCTGTCCCCAGCCGGTCATTTCTGTAGCTTTCTAGTGGCGATCGCAGGCTCGCGGGCCTCCTGGCCCCTTCTTCCACGGGAAGGTCACACTTGCCAGGCTTGGTCCCCTCGCAGGCCCGGGGGCCCAGGGCGTGCTCTTTTCTGCAGACCCGGCAGGGCTTGGCTGCACCACGCTCTAGCTGCGAGCCGTGCGTGTTGGGAAGGCCCGTTTGGAAGGCTTCTGGGTTTGTGTGTAGTCAGGATGGCCTGTTTTGAGTGGACTTTTGTGTCAAGGGAAATTCGGTGCCTTCGGATGGGCAGTGGAGGCCTTCCTTTCCCAGATCAGCTACTGTGGGTCCCTGGGGAAGGGACAGAGGCCAGGGTGAGCGCTTTCAAGGAGGTGTAGGAGGCTTGGGGATGCCTCTCCTTCGGGGGGATCGGATACCGAACTTTGAGGGGCCCAGGGCAGCGCGGGGTGCTACGCTCCCCGGGAGCTCCCTGCGGCGCATCTCCGACACCCACCGCAGACATTTGTTCCTGCTCATCTCCTCCCCCGGGGCCTCTGCCCCCTGCCCTCACACTGTCCCCTGCCTCCTCCCCCTCAGCCCTGAAAAGCCTGGATTGCCGAGCTCTAGACACATCAGCCGCGTTTGTGCCGGGCTTCCCGGGGTTGTCACTTTGCACCTCTGGCCGTGGTCCCTACCTCGTGTTTACACACACTAGTTTTGTTTTTCCTTCTTCGCTCATTCAAAGTGGCAATTTGAAATAATGTGCCCACTATTGAGCCGTGCTGGGATTGGAGTCAGCCAAATCTACAAGTGTTTTTAAGCATTAAAATATTAACTATCAGGTTTGACTTGTTTTTTTTTTTTTTTTTTTTTTTTTTTTTTTTTTTTTTTTTTTTTTTTTGGCTCTGGCAGAATGGCAAGAGCACGCTAGACCGGTGATTTTTTTTTTTAATGCCTAGGAAAGAGAAACACTCACCACCCCCCAAGCCCCTAGAGCCCGTGCCTTCCTTGGACGCCGGGACAGACGTACAGCCTGACCTCCGCCCAGCAGGGCCCGCGCTTTCCGGAGGCTGCTCTGCGGCCTCGGAAGCAGCGCCTGGTATTTTTCTTGGTAGCTTACGGGATCTTAAAGAATCGGTGTGTTTGCAAACTAGACCCAGCAACATTCCAAAGTAATCCTGGGAATTTCCTCCTCCCCTCCTCCCCTTCTCCTTAGGATGCAGACCTCTTTCGTTTTATTTTAAAATCCACTTAGCCGCCCGAAAGGCCATCTGAATATTGAGCTTTGATGGCAGGCTTGTTGCCTTTCTTGACCCTTTCAAACTGCACGTCCGTGACCGCTGGCGATCTTGCCACACCATCGCTTCAAACCCACACAGTTGTGTTGTGCTGTAATTAGGAAACAGGGAAATTGTTAAAGGCAAATAAATGATTTCCCGGTGAGACAAGGAAGGCTCCCAACCCACGGCCCCCTTTGTGGGCTTTGTAAGATAGACAGCGTCTAGTTATTTTAATTGTGGACATAGCGGGTGGCCCTCTGCTGTGACATCAGATTGACTCTGAGAAGGCATTTCTGAACCCAGTAGGCTGTTAGTATTTGCGTGTCAGACATCAGACATCTTTGTGCCTCTTTCCTTTCCCTTACCTGGTAAGCTTGTGTGCTCCAAAATTGAAGTTATTTATTTAGGCGGCGGAGCGGGAGCGTTGGCAAGGAGCTGAGAGGCTGTTGATACCCCTCTAGACGCCTTTGGACGCTAGGGCTAGCTTGCAATTCCAGATTCGATACAGCCCCGGGTGGAACTCACAGGCAAGCCAGCGGTCCGGTCTGAAATCCTCAGGGTTTCAGGGTCTGGTTTTGAGTGGGAGTTGTAAACACAAATTAGGGATAAGCTCATTCATTCTCTTCCTGCCTGCTGGTTGGGGTGCTTTTTGCTACATTTTCTGTTACTTGTGAACAGTACCGGCCAAAGGGCCGAATCCTTTGAAAAATAGACTCTCTGGAACCCTGACTTCTGTTTTTCTGCTTAAAAATGTAAAGAATTAAGGAGTATCATTAAATCTGCTTTTGATGAATAATACATCATCTCTAGAACAATCTTTTAATTGCCAAAGAAGCCATAAAGCTTGATAGTAATGATTTTACTTTAAAACGACAAAGACTTCCTCAGAACATTAATTTAATCTTTACTCCAGTAATAGAAGTGGCTTATGAAGAGGATACATTCAGATAGAAAAATACATTAAGGAGAAGTCTAGTTAAGTAGATGGGAAGGGCTGGAAGGGCCAGTATTGTGATTCAGGTAACATTGTGTTCTAGAGAGTAAATACTGTTACAAGATTAAAGTCATCAGAAGGGGAAGTTTTGCTTTTCTTTTCTTTTTCTTTTTCTTTTTTTTCCTGGCTTGCAAGAAATGGGTCTATGGTGGAAGGAATTGCAGTAGGTGTGAGATTTCATTTTAAGGGTCCCCTCACACAGCTTCATCTACCCAAAGCCTTTGCTTTTCAGCGGAGCTGTTTGCTACTAGGTTGAGCAGATAAGTAACAGCATCTTGAATTCATTTTTGAACTTGGAATGGAGCATTTCAAGGAAACCGAGAGGGAGCCTATTCATTGAGGAGGTTTTATTTAGCCCGGCAACTTTTTTTTTTCTGGCTTGCCGAAAAATGGAAAATGAATGTTTTCGACTTTCTCAAACAACATAATCCTTCCTGACCCCAAAGATTGAGACCCTAGAGTGTGAAGGGTTAATGTTGGACCTTCCCTGTTGTCTTCCCACCCCCTACCTTCACCCCTGATTGTTTTGACAACACTTTTCAAAGTGTGACATTCCAAGCCCCTCCATAACAATGTAATATTACTGTAATTACACAGGTCATTACATTTTAAATAGAAAACAATAAAATGCTTATCGCCTTGAAAAGGAACAGGTGCTCTCAGCCTCCTTTCGTATTTATGCTAATTGTTTTCATCTCCTTCAGAAATATTTATGGCAGACATGTTTAGATTTTAATCTCAATGCAGCAAGTCTTCTATGCTAATCTCGTAAGTTAGGGTTTAATGTCTGGGTTCAGCATTCACCCAGTAAGTCATATTTTAATGATTATAAGTCTAATATGTTAGTGCTTTGCAGTTTGGCTTCCTGAAGCCCCACAAACAAATGTGAGGTTTAGGAGTCTAAAAGACTCATCTAGGAGAGGCATTTTGGGGGAACTTTGCTACCGTTTAGGGGACGCCAGCTTTGACTGCTGTCCTCTGTCTTTGAGAACAACCGTGCTGGTCCTTGCTTGGAGGGAGTTCTCCGCCCTGATTTTCTTTTTCCTGAGAGGGATTGCCTTTGGAGTTGCTGCTGGCAGCTACCTAGCTTTCTGTTTCTTAGCAAGCTGTGAAAAAGTTACAGGTAGGTTTCCCGGAGTGACATCTAGAATGCTGCTTTCTCTGTTAGTGGCATAGGATGGCTGCAATTCTGCACGCCATTTAAAAAAAGGGGGGTGGGCATTTAATGGTTATACCAGAGGCGATGCTTTTCCAGATTAGGGGAGAAGTCTTTTCAAGATCTGAGCACCTTCTCCCATCCCACAAGGTGCCCAGGTGCATACAAAAAAGTGTCTGCAGAGGCCATCTGAGAAGGGCTGGCCTGGCCTCCCTCCAATGCAGAGGGTAGAGGAGAAGGCAGAGGAGAGAGAGAGGATTTTGCATTTTGTCACATGTCACACAACAGGGGCTCCCAAATCACACTGAAAATGCACTGTAGAGAAAGGACAGCTGCAAATTTTTGTGTGGACGCGTGTTTAGGACCGTGACTAAAAACTCCCGAGGACCTTTCCCCCAGCTGTCTGGAAGTTATGTGGAAGTTGGTTTATTGGCAGTTAAGTATGGGACAACCTGGATTTAGCAGATGCTTTCTCCTGCACAGGAAGTAGATGACATTGTATTGGGGGCAGGGAGGAGACTAGGCAGGGAATGATTTACTCCCTTTAAAAAAATAATCTCGGAGTTGCCAAATAAATAAGCTTCCAAGGAAGTAGGTGCTAGCTAGCTGCCTAGTCTTGGTGGGAGTGGAATTTGATGATATCTTTGACCACATTTATAACTTTGCTGGCACATTTCAATGATTTGAAAAGGAGGGTTGACCATGATTCTTCAGGGTTTTGTTTTGGAGGTGTGTGTGGGGGTGTGGGGGGTGAATGGGTAGATGGTGGGTGTCTGAGTTTCTTTACGAAGTAGATACTGGCAACCATGTAAGTAAATCTTCAACTCGGATTTATAATTGAGCACATTTGTGAAGGAAATGGTTAATTTTACAACCAAAGGCAAACTTGCACCTCGACAGGCCTGCTGAAAGAAATGTGCCCCAGCCCTTTGCTGGCAACCTCCCCGAGTCATAAATCCACGGGCTTTATTTGCAGCCCATAACACTTATGAATGTT